AACTATATTTAAAACAAAAATGTTAAGGCCAGCCCCCCCTCCCCCCCCCCCCAAAAAAAGGGGGAGCCAGGTCAGGCTGAGGCTCTTTGGATTTTGCTGGGACTCAAAAGGTTTTGCACTGGGGGAGGTGGGAAGGGAAGGAACGGAAAACCAAGGGGAGGGAGAGGGAGGGGAACCAGACATAAGTAGTGGGATGATAGGGAAAGAGGGAGAGGGGGGGAATGGAAGGAGAGGAAAGAGAGGGGGAGAGGAAAAGGAAGAGGGGGAGGGGAAGGGAGGGAAGGGGATTCAGACATAAAATGGTGGGATGGGATGGAAAGAGAAGGAGAAGGGGGAGAAAGGATGGAAGAGGGAGGGGAGGAGGGGAGAGGTGGGGAGGGGAAGGGAAGGAAAGGAAGGGGAAGGGGGGTAAATGAAGGGAAGAAAAGGGGAAAAGGCAGGCAGGGAGGAGGGGAAGGGGAAGGGAGGAGAAGGGGTAAACGAAGGGAAGAGAAGGAGAAGGGAAAGAATCAGGCAGGGTGGAGGGGAAGGGGATGGAGAAGGGGAGGGGAAAAGGGAAGAGAAGGAGAAGGGGAGGGTAAGAGGCAGGCAAAGCAGAGGATGGAGAAGAGGAAGGGAAGGGGGAAATGGAGGGAGGTAAGAAGAAAGAAAGGGAGAGACAAAAATAAATCCAGAAATTGGGGGAGGGGGTTGGGGGCGGGGGGGGGTAAGCAGGCAGACTCACCTCACTCCAGACCAGCATGGTACCGAAGACCACCTGAAGCCCATCGAAGAAATTGTCCCCGATCACAATCACGGTGGCCCCTCCCGTCGTCCAGCCTTCACTGGGGCTGATGGCTTTGATGCAGGGGGTGGCTGCTATAGGAGGGGGAAGAGAGAGGGGTCAGGAATCCCCCCCCCACGCAGACACCCCAAAAAAATAAGGGGAGGGGAAGGGAAGCAGGCCAAGGGCGAGGGCACCAAAGAGACACCCCCTCCCCTCAGCTCAAAGGGGACCCTCTTGGAAGGAAGGAGAGCTAAGTGGCCGGATTCGCCTCCCTCTTATTAATTCAGATCCTAAAGCCAAGCTCACGTATTGGCCAGCATTGGCTGGGAAAGAGGAAACGCTAAACCGTGATTAGAGACACCTGGCTCCCATGCCTGCTGGGTGTTCTTCTGACTTACAACCGTTCATTGATTCAGAGTTACAACAGCGTTGAAAAAAGTGACTTAGGATAGTTTTTCACACTTAACGACGGTTGCGGCATCCCCATGGTCACGTGATCCCCCCCTCAATGTTTGACAACTGACTTGTATTTATGACGGTTGTCCTGTCCCAGGGGTGGGGGGGTCATGTGATCCCCTTTTGTGACTTTGTGACAAGCCAGATTCACTTAACAACCTTGTGGCTAACTTAACAACTTCAGTGATTCCCTTAACAACAGCAGGAAGAAAGGTCGTAAACTGGAGCAAAGCGTGCTTAACCGTAGGTCTCACTTAGGAACATAAATTCCAGGCTCAGTTGTGGTTGTAAGTTGAGGATAAGAGCCGCAAAAGCCATATTTCTCAACCTCAGGAATTTTAAGACCGGGGGGGGGGGATTTCAACTCCCTGAATTCCCCAGCCAGCTGGCCTGCCTCCTGCCATGAACCGGGGG